TGAGTATTAGAATCTCCGATATTTCAAGTTTCGGAAATTTTAGAATTTGCTGATTTTTCAAATTTCATATTTATTATTTTCTGAATTCCCACCTTTCGAATTTCTGGATTTACGGATTTCTGAATTTATGAAAAAAAAACAAGAAATCATAAAATAGGAGGATTTCGAATTAGGAATATGAGAAATTTGAAATTTCAGAAACTCAAAATTTTAGAAATCCAGAACTCCAGAAGTTGAAAAATTGAGAAAATGTGAACTCGGAGATTCAGAAATTCAAAGTTTCAAAAATTCTACATTTTGAAGAGTCTGGAACGTTTGAAAACTTTAGAGAAAATCCTATAAAATCTTTCAGAAAATTTCAAATTCTAATCTGTGAGTTTCCGAACTTCGTAAATTCTGAACATTCAAGATTCTGAAATTCGGAATTCCTGCATTCCAAAATATCAGTCACTGAGAATTTAAAAAAATCAGAAATTAGGAGACTCGGAAAATTGAGAAATTAGAAGTTAAGGAAAAAAGATATTTGGATTTGGAACTTTCCGCGTCTAGAATTTCTGAACTTCCGGGTTCAACAGAAAGCGAAAATAACAGAAAGCTCGAGGGAAATCAGTGAAAACAAGGAAATACAACTGGAGAATAACAATATTTTCAGGTTACGGTAGTTGTCGTTGTGGGATCTTCGGACGCGCCCACCGACGTTTTTCTTCCACTGTTCTGATTTTTGTATCAGAACAACAATAACACATCTGCTGAGAAATGAGAGAATATTTTCACTGTTTCAAATAATTGATAAATATTTAAGTGAAAAATCTGATGATAAATAAAAGCTTGTTTCTATTCAAAAGCTCGGCTTGTTTTTTTCCGGAATAATGCACTAATTGAATTTTTATTTATGTTTCACTTCAACCATCATACTGTAAACTTTCCACACGGATACCAATTACGAACAAGCTTTTTGAAGGATATTGGTCCCGGAAAACTGTAAGTTCTCCCTAATCGGAGTTACCGTATCTGCTATATTTTCTTTCCCAATCTGAAAAGTTTCGAGTCCCTAATCTCTTCACCTCATGTTCACACCTCCTTGACACGCCAATCCCCAAATATTTCTGTCTATTTGATCCACTTGAAAAGTCATCATCATCTTCTCACTGTAATCCGATCCTGAGCTAAGTGGTCTGTTTAACAGGAGAAGCAGAAGCTTGAACACGCACTTCTTCTCACTTTTCTTTGCTCATAACTACCGTACTCCCAAAGGTGTGTGCAAATGAGGCAAATTGATGATTTATTCACACTTGGTGACATATAAAGTGTATGAGCAAATAATAGTAGTGTTACAACTACACATATTTCAAAGATATCGAGTTTCGTTTCGTGCCTCCTTTTTTGGGGATAGGAACAGTTTAGGAGGAATAGGAAATGTGAAATCGCACGATAGGAAGATGAGGATTACTGTTATTTAGTGGACCGAGCATCAGAATTGCTGGGGGGACTAAAAAGTGGGAAAATTTGTTATCAAGCAGTATTGTAACCCTTTTAATTTGAACAGTTTTGAAGAAACAGAAAAAAATTTTCCTAAAAAATAGTTGCTGCTCGATTTTTAAATTTTGCTATTTTCAGACAACAAAAACAATGTTCTCAAATAACAAGATCTGTAAATGGCATCAACTTTTGACACCCTTTTTTAACGGTTTAAGAGCAAAATCAGGCCATAAAGGGGATTACTGTAGGTTACTGGACCGAGCATCAGAGTTGCTGTGGGGACTTAAATGTGGGATAACAGGAAATGAGAACAAGACAACTTGACACAGGTAAGTTTTACTGTTAGATTGAAGAAGTTATTGTGACAACTTCATAATGTGGTATCATCGTGGCTGTTTATTGAAACATATTGGAGCTCCCTTTTGATTTGAAGAGCTTGAAACAGTTAAATTATTTTTTGAAAAAAAAATTGTTGCTGCTCGATCTTACATAATTTTTCCAGATAACGGAATCAACACCGAAAAGAGATATTGAACAATACTGTAACTCCTCCTTAATTTTAAGAATTTGAAACAGAAAAAATTGATTTTTGTTACTTTGAGCTACGGTGGCAAAACTTATCGATAATTTAAGATGCCTAAAAGTCCACAGGAAATCATTCTTATAATAAATAAATAAAGTTGCGTCTCTCTGTTTCTCTCTCGGTTTGTCCGCAAATTTTTGAAAAACTTGAAAATTAAATAAAATTTGACGTGACCCTTTAAGTAAGACAGAGGAGCGAAGCGACGAACAGTAAAATGTATTGATTGAATCGCGCCGAAGGCGCACCAGCCAACTGTTTGAAGCGCCGGAGGCGCGGCAAACAGGCTGGTCTCTTTAAAATGCTCGTCGAAAAGTCTTGAAATCGCTTTTCAAAAATTCGTGAGCAGGAAACATTAGGTTTGAATCAGATTTGGAGAATGGGTTTACGACTAAATAGGGCAAATAAACAATAACAGGACAACTTGAAACAGAAAAGTTTTACTTTTAGATAAAGAAGTTATTGTGGAAACTCTATGATGCAAATACCGTATTTCCACTAATTGAAGCCCATGGGCTTCTATTTTTCAACCTCCTTTTTATGAAATTACCAAAAACTGAAATTACCAGAATTTTTTTGAAATAGAAAGAAAATGTCTACAATAACCGAATAGACAAACTGAACTGTTCAAACTGCACTAGCTGAACTGAACGTACTTCTGTTAGAGAATGCGCTTCTATGTTTTTAAGCACGTCAGAGAGTGGGCTTCTATTAAAGGAAATACGGTATTTGTGATTTTTACATAAAGGCGCTATTGAAAAAAAAATATTGGAACTCAATTTTGATTTAAGGAGTTTGAAACAGATTTTTTTTTATTTGCTGCTCTAACTTTTTTCAGACAACGAAATAAAACGGTGGCAAACTTTGCGCCACCAACCGAATGCTCTTGAGAAAGTTTTGAAATTGTTTTTCGAGAATGCTTCGAGCAGACTTATCGCGCATGTATTTCGAATAAGTATTGAGGTGATTTTTTCCAATTATGGAAAAATTCGTTTTTTTTTCTAAAAAATGCCATTTCAAAAGCTTCATGAAAGTCGCGCAAATGCCACCATAATATCCAATAAAACTTATCCTTACTAACTAGAATATCGGTCAAATATAAAAATTCGATAAATATCGCACATTTGAAATAGTGAAGTTTTAGAAGTTTTCGTTTTTCGGAAAATCAAAACTTCGAAAAAAACTGTTATTTATTCATTTTTTTTTTTCGATGAAATGCAGACATTGCTGAGTAGTGACTCAGCAGTTCAATTTGAAGCTTTCGCGTCGAGACCAAACGATAGTCTTACTGTAGAATCACGGTCATAGCATTTGCGTTCCGAAAAAAAAATACAGTGCTTCTCAAAAGCTTTGGAGCTTCAGAAAATTTTCTAAAATTTGATTTTCCGGAATACCATGTTTTTGGAATGCTACTTTTTTTAGCGAAGCTTTCACAAAAAGCGAAGTTTTTTGCAAGTACGACTTTTCCGCCAACGCGCTCTGAGCCTCTGAAAGATGTTGTGTTCATGAAGCTTTTGAAATGGTACCTTTTAGAAAAAAAAACGAATTTTTCCATAGTTGGAAAAACATCACTTCAATACTTATTCGAAATACATGCGCGATAAGTCTGCTCGAAGCATTCTCGAAAAACAATTTCAAAACTTTCTCAAGAGCATTCGGTTGGTGGAGCAAAGATTGCCACCGTTTTATTTCGTTGTCTGAAAAAAGTTAGAGCAGCAAATAAAAAAAAATCTGTTTCAAACTCCTTAAATCAAAATTGAGTTCCAATATTTTTATTCAGAATGATCGTGGTCCCGCGTTCGAATTTCCGGTAACATCTTTGATTTGTTCCGAAGAGAGACTAATGTGCAATCCTGAAATGAATGAATAAAATATATATTGAAAGCAGAATCTTCTCTATATCTAGTTCATTTTTATTTGACAGAACGTACGTAGGTTATTATTAGATTCATCAGCTTCTGCTAAATTCTCTACTCCTTCGAGGGGGACGCCGTCAGTGACATAAGTTGTGGTGTCTTCTTCTTCTTCTTCTTCAAACATTTTACGACGGCTACAAATGTTGGGGACTGTTAAAAGGTTATTTTATGCACTTAAAAACTTTCACAGGATGTGTATATTTTTGATTCAATAATCAAGTGATGAATGCCATGTTTCTGCTGCCTTAAAGGTGGGGAGACATGAAAAAATAATGTTCTCGAAATTCCGTGTAAATATGCCCCTCGAGGAGTTGAACTTGTGGGGGCGAGGATTGAAGATGCGGCGCCGCTACCGACTGAGCACGCGGGCAAAGAGAAAGCGCCATTTTTACTTTTGAAAACTTCGTATTCCAGAAAATCAGATATGAGGAAAAGTTCAATGAAGAATGCTCCAAAGCTTTTGAGAAGTGTATTTTCTAGATAAAAAACTTGAATATTTCCTACTGATATTTGATTTTCCGGAAAACAAAACATTACTAAACTTTTACTATTTCAGGTTTGAGGTATGTATCTCATGTCAGGTAAATTCTAGTGAAGAATTGTTTCATCAAGCATTTGAAGTAGTTTTTTGGGAAAAATCTAATTTTTCCGCCCGGAAAAAAGTAGCATTCCAAAAACATGGTATTCCGGAAAATCAAATTTTAGAAAATTTTCTGAAGCTCCAAAGCTTTTGAGAAGCACTGTATTTTTTTTCGGAACGCAAATGCGATGAGCGTGATTCTACAGTAAGACTATCGTTTGGTCTCGACGCGAAAGCTTCAAATTGAACTGCTGAGTCACTACTCAGCAATGTCTGCATTTCATCGAAAAAAAAAATGAATAAATAACAGTTTTTTTCGAAGTTTTGATTTTCCGAAAAACGAAAACTTCTAAAACTTCACTATTTCAAATGTGCGATATTTATCGAATTTTTATATTTGACCGATATTCTAGTTAGTAAGGATAAGTTTTATTGGATATTATGGTGGCATTTGCGCGACTTTCATGAAGCTTTTGAAATGGCATTTTTTAGAAAAAAAAACGAATTTTTCCATAATTGGAAAAAATCACCTCAATACTTATTCGAAATACATGCGCGATAAGTCTGCTCGAAGCATTCTCGAAAAACAATTTCAAAACTTTCTCAAGAGCATTCGGTTGGTGGCGCAAAGTTTTCCGGAAAATCAAATATCAGTAGGAAATATTCAAGTTTTTTATCTAGAAAATACACTTCTCAAAAGCTTTGGAGCATTCTTCATTGAACTTTTCCTCATATCTGATTTTCTGGAATACGAAGTTTTCAAAAGTAAAAATGGCGGCTTTCCCTTTGCCCGCGTGGTTCAGTCGGTAGCGGCGCCGCATCTTCAATCCTCGCCCCCACAAGTTCAACTCCTCGAGGGGCATATTTACACGGAATTTCGAGAACATTATTTTTTCATGTCTCCCCACCTTTAAGGCAGCAGAAACATGGCATTCATCACTTGATTATTGAATCAAAAATTACACATCCTGTGAAAGTTTTTAAGTGCATAAAATAACCTTTTAACAGTCCCCAACATTTGTAGCCGTCGTAAAATGTTTGAAGAAGAAGAAGAAGAAGACACCACAACTTATGTCACTGACGGCGTCCCCCTCGAAGGAGTAGAGAATTTAGCAGAAGCTGATGAATCTAATAATAACCTACGTACGTTCTGTCAAATAAAAATGAACTAGATATAGAGAAGATTCTGCTTTCAATATATATTTTATTCATTCATTTCAGGATTGCACATCAGTCTCTCTTCGGAACAAATCAAAGATGTTACCGGAAATTCGAACGCGGGACCACGATCCTACTGTTGCGCGATTTGCATGAAAGTCTGTTCTCGAAATACGAATCATCTCCACGAGGAGCTCAGTGTCGAGGAAAACCAGTACGCGACTAGAGAGTTCCGACGCCCACTCCGTACACCGTCCAAAGTGCACGAACTGTTCAATCCGAAAATAACGTTATCGAGAAGACTGGAACTTGTGAGATCCGCGTGTCAAAGTGAGATGAATCGACAAGAAGTTGCTTCTCGTTTATTGACTGAACAATCGGCGGAAAACGTGAAAGCTGGTAAGGAGGTCTCGAGAAACGGTATGTTCAGTCTCGAGAAACGGTATTGTTACGATTGCTCCAAGATATCGATTGTGATGAAGTCTTGGCGGAGGATGATGGTGCTCCGGATGATCTACTCGTCGCAACAGGACTGTTAAGATTCAACAGCTCCTCTGAAAGCATTGGGCCATCGGAAAAGCGTCTTGCAAATTTGTGTTGTTTGTATCTGATAAACAAGCACAAAAAGAGAATAAAAATATACACATCCTGTGAAACAGAAAAAAGTTTCAACCCGGCAAGGTTGGGGACATGGACAAAAACCATCTCAAAATTTTGTTCACATAAGGCTCTCGAAGAGTTGAACTTGGGGGGAGCTTGGGCCCGAGTATTGAAGATGGTGTACGCAGAATGGATACTGTAACTCCAAAATAATCTCCGAAAATCTGATGTTTCTCCACCTTAAAAAATGCTTGCTGCCTGATTTCTGGAAGTTTTCATTTTAAAATAACGAAATTGATGATCGCAATTATTTAGCAAGATTTGGGAATGACAATAACTTTAAAGAGAACCATTTAATTTCGAACTGGAGTTTAAAAAATTTTTGTTCAGCTGTTCCATAAAAATACATTTTTGTTACGATTTGTGTACATTCAGATACTGGGAAAATATAGCTCTGGTGCAAATTAATTGAGTTTGAAACAGTGAATATTTTATAAAAACATATTTTATTGAAGCATATGGCATTTTAATATTTTGTATAATCCAGTTAGCCCAGCAAATTCAGATAATGGTCGATTAAAAAATTTCTAGGAATATCTCAAATTTGAAACAGTAAAATTTCAGACATTTTTCGTTTTCCGGAATATATACCGTATTTCCTCTAATAAAATCCCACCTCTATTTGAAGCCTATCTCTAATAGAAGCCCGCCTCGCGAGGTGCATCGAAAAATAAAAGCCTTCCCTCTAATAGAAGCCCGTGGGCTTTTCTCAATTTCTGATCGACAGAGTTACTGAATATTGAATTTTGAGATTCTGGAATTCCAGAATTTTAAAAATTCGGAAATTTGGAGTTTAGATTGAATAATGAAAACTTCAAATTGAAACACTGAATTTCAGAATTCTTAACTTCCGAATTGTCTAAATCCTGATTTTTCGAACATTTTTTTTTGAAAATTAATCATTGAAAAATAGAGGCCCACCCTGAGAAAGAGGTTGAAAAATAGAAGCCCATGGGTTTCTATTAGAGGAAATACGGTAATCTTAGGCAATTTTCAATGGAGAAGTCTCCAAAGCTTTTGAGAAGCACGGTGTTTTTTTTCGGAATGTCTTGAAAATGCGAATAACCGTAGTACTACAGTAAACTGGAGGTTGGGCAAATTTTTCAGCTTTTCATAAAAATACATTTTCAAAACCCCTTCTTCAAAAATATTTGAAAATAGTGTTAGTTCCTATTTTTCAGGTCAGAGACACAAAGCCAAGCTTGAGATCAATGAAGCTGGAGAAGAGGAGGAAGAAACTTAGATTCATCAAAATTCATCAACCTCATCACCACACTCTTCGGAATCTTCCCTACAAATTTAAATTTTCTAATCTTTTAAATGTTCTAATTTTTTTTTGTTATCCTTTTTATTGAGTTTATAATGTAATAAACTGTTTGATAATAGGTAAATCGATTAAAACACCCGATTCCGAAGAAAAAAATTCAAAAAACGGCACACAGGAGCACGGCAACGGCACGCAAAACGCAAAAAACGATAGCATGTCAACGATTGGCTAACTATAAAAATTCAATAAATATCTTAAATTTGAAATAGTAAAATTATAAGAAATGTTTCGTTTTTTTTCTGGAAATTACAGATTCCGTAAAATTTTTATATTTAGGTACTGCACAATTATAACTCATGTAGATTGATTGAGTTTGAAACAGTCCATATTTTATGAAAACTTTTGTTCTTGAAGCCAACACCACTCACACATTTAATAAATTCAGACAATACAGCGAAGTATTGGTCAATTATAAAAGTTCTAGAAATATCTCAAAGTTGGAATAGTAAAATTTTAGAAAATTAAAAGGTGGGAAGACATGAGAAAAGGATTTTTCGGAATTTTTGTTGCCGATAGCTGTGAATCCTGTACACCGTCACATTAGAATACATACCGTAACTCTGAGCAGCTCGATTTCGGGAAGTTAGCTCTTTTAAGATAACGAAATTAACTATCGCAATTATTACAATAAAACTATCGTTATTTAGTGCAGTAAAATTCAGTCTCTACTCACCTATTGGTTAACTATAGAAATTCGATAAATATCTCAAATTTGAAATAGTGAAACATCAGAAATGTTTCGGGTTCCGAAAAATCAAAATTTTGAAAATAAAGTAGCCCCCTCCTTTAAAAAATGTTTGCTGCTCGATTTTGGAAAGTTGCACTTTCCAGAATCGAGGATCGTAATTATTTAGCAAAATTTTTGAGTGACGACAGCTTTCCAATGAATTTGAACTTGAAGGTTTGACAATTTTTTTCCTTTTTTCATAAATTTTGCATTACGATCGGGGAGCTATCTGAGCATGTCCCCGAGTTACATTTCATGACCTATAATATTAGAAAGCCCATGAACATCTGATTCGGAATATGTTCTCTGTTTTTTCGAAACGGCGGTGAGCTTCGAGACAATTAGGTCAAAAGATAACTTTCAGTTGATTTTAAGCTGTGTTTGGCTTCTTAAATTTGAAATAAATATATCACGTGTCTGGCGTCGATTTTCAATGCAAAATCAACAGGTTTCAGTACTAAAGTTTTTCGAACAATTTATCGTTTGACCTAATTTTCTCAAAGCTCACCGCCGTTACGCAAAAACAGAAAACATATTCCGAATCAAAATTATATAATAGGCATTCTGAGTCAACGAAGCTGATCGAGCACATATAACTCATGTGCAATTCAATTGAGTTTGAAACAGTAAATATTTCATAAATACCGTTTTTTATTGAATCCGTTGTCATTTTTTGATACTCACAGTCAGTAAATTCCGCCAGCCCAGCCAGTTTGATAATTGATCAAACGGAAAAATTCTAGAAAAATCATAAAATTGAAATAGCAAAATTATCAAAATGTCTCATATTCCTAAAACTGCAAACTCCGGAAAATTAAATCTCAGGAAAATTTCTAGGAGTGAAATTTTAGTATTTCCGCAAAGATGGCGTTTATATCAATGCGCTCTGAAAAATTCATTTCAGGAAGCTTTCGAAATAGTTTTTTTTTGAAGAATTTTTTTTTCAAAAAGTTCCCTTCAATACTCATTCCAAAAACATGCGCGATTAGTCTTCTGCTCAAAAGAATTCTCGAAAATCGATGGTTTCCAAACTTTCCCACGAGCATTTGACCAAGATTTCCTTTGGATTTTCAGGAGGCACCCATTGGATTAGGCCCAGTCGGGGTTTTAGGAGAGGATTTGGTACCGATTTGCTTGGTGCTTATTAATTAGGGAAAGGAGTGGAGGAAGAAGAAATTCAGAGAAGGATTTTCTTGTTTACACTTATTTCGCAAAGTTGATATAATATATATTTATCGTAAACACTCTAATAGAACGAAACCCCCTGGCTGCTAACTTTGAGCCAATTTATCTCGGTTCCTACGCAAGATATCAAACAGTGATTTACTAAAAAAATGTTGCTAATATCATGAAAAACATTTTATCAGTTAACCACTTTTTGATATCTTTTACAGGAAACGAGATAAATTGGCTCAAAGTTGACGTCAGGGGCGTCATAGTGTTTACGGTACTTGAAACTATTGGCTTCCCGTTAGAAAATACACACCATGTAGTTCCTCATGCCAATGAAGAACACAAAAACCGATTAATTAATTTCCACATGATTAACCTTTTTTCTAGTTTAAAACCTTCAGATCAGGTAGGTCTTTTTCAATACCGTATACTCTTGTTTAAAATAGTAATACCTTCTCAAGGATAGATTCCTTCATTCATCTCTTTTTCTTCTGCTGATAAAATGATAATTCGATCATTGTACAACTAATTCGACTACCGTAATCCGATAGACGAACCGGTCGGACGGTGCGAAGTTGACGGGGGATTATCATAGGAGATACAGTAACCCGAATAACATGATTAGAATGGGATTAGAACTTTTATTGGATGAAGAAGAAGAAACGACTAGAAAATTCATTGGGGGGGGGGGGGAGAAATAGAAGGAATTAGAAGAGTTGAGGAAGGCCCATTGGAGATTAATGCTGTTGGTTTTGTACACTGGAAGAGAAAAGCTAATTCACAAAAAATCGAAACTAATTTTCAGACTTGACTTCTTGGTTCTCACTGGAACTGGATTTCAGCGATGCTTTGGATTCAGGAGAGCTCGTTTCTTTGCCAACGGACCCTTCTCGTTTTATCCTTTTCGGTTTACGGGTTTCGTCGTCGGATTCATCGCATTCCGAGTCGTCACTGTTCTGGAATGGAAAGATATTGCTCATTTTCAATCTTCGAAAGTTTTATATATTGATTTTTCAAAAATTAGGTTTATTTAGTGCGTTCACCGCAAACCCTCTAATAGATGGTGTCCTAAGTTTAAGTTTGTATATCTCGTTTCCGGTGAAAGATATAAAAAAGTGGTAAACTGATAAAATGTTTATCATATTATCACTAATATTTTATCAGTTGACAACTTTTTGATATCTTTCACAGGAACAGAGATAAACTAGCTCAAAGTTAACTAATCAGGGAGTTTATCTGCTGAATACACCGAATAAAATCGGAAATATTTTTTATGTAGTTAGTGAAACTGTAATTTTAGTTTTGATCACTAAAATAATTTTTATATTGTTAGAGTTTTGCTAAATTATTCCTAATCTTGTTGAAAAATATACAATTATATTTTCCTTAAAATAAAGGAAATTTGGAAAAAATTCGAAGCCTTGCTTCTTCAACTTATTGTTAAAATGTTAGCTATAATTGAGTTTTTTCGTTAGGTTTTTGACCAGAAAAAAAGGAGATTCTGAATCAAAAAAATAGGAAAACATAATCTTCCACAACATGTGAAACAGAAAAGAGCGTCAAACGTACCATAGAAAAAACTTTAGTGACTATACAAATAAATTATTTTTCTTGATATTAGTATTAGTGGCATTTCAGTATAACTTTGATCAACATTCGATAAGACTTACTTTAGTTACTACAATGTAAACTTCAAAACTGAAGATTTTAAGAAACTTGGTTCTTTTTCTCAAATAAATTCATATTTCCTCTGATAAAATCTCACCCAAACCGCCAACTTTGAGCTCAATTATCTCATTTCCCACGAGAGTTATCAAAAACTTGTTAATTGATAAAATATTTATCATAATGTCATCAATAGTTTATCAGTTGACTACTTTTTGATATCTTCCACACAAATCAAGATAATTGAGCTCAATGTTGAAGGGTCGGGTCGGCTTCTATTAGATTTTTAATTCCCGTTTTTTTTTCCAAAAAAAGTCCCTTACCTTCGACGTCCGACTATCGTCCTTCTTCTGTTTCCTCTCTTTGGCTCGACGATTTTTGAACCAGACCTGAAAATTTGAAAAGGTTACAAGAAAGTACTCCGATCACATCAGCAAAAAAGTTCTCAACTTTCAAGCCAATATGGAACAGCGAAAGTTTCGAAAATCTAGAAATTTCCACCGAAAATTGCATGCTTCAAAACCCTCAACCTAATTAAAACCCATTCTCAAATCCCCCTTCATTAAAGATCATCGCTACATTTGAATCTTCTAATTATAAGATATGTGTACGTATTTATGAACGAATCGATCAGCAAAAAAGAGGGAAGCGTTCGATGCGTAGGTGCGATTATCCGCATCATCGAATTCATATTAAGATAAACACATATAATGTCCTTCTTCAATATGGTCGGTGTCATGATACTTTTTGAAAAATATAGTCCAAAAATCGTAATGATTTTTAAAGGAGGTCAGACACCAAAAAAAAAGTTTTCCTGATATTTTGCATAGAGAACCCCCATGAGGGGTTGAACTCATGACATGCAGCTCAGGGGTACAGCGCCGCTACCGGCTGAGCTACGGGGGCGAGAAGGCGCCTGACGACCGATGGTCTACATAAGCGCGGCGCGATTTCGTCCCCCGAACTGTCCCCCGAAATTTTTGCTGTCTCGCCTCCTTTAAAGGTGGTGTGCGGTGAAAAATTTTGTTGCTTTATTTTGTGCAGAAAACCATGTAGATTCCCCTAAAAATAAAGAAAAAATTCAAATAAATTACTTCATTGAGAAACACGGCATCGAAAAGTCAAAGTGGGAACCGGTGGCCTAGCGGCCAGGTGTGAGTTTTCTAGGCCAACTGCTGGTAGAAGCGCGCGAAATTCGAATTTTTATTGATTTTCAGTGTTCTCTCTGATTTTTGTCCGGTTTTTTCATACACCTGGCAGGAAATTAACAAAAACATTTAGAAATCTTTAAAAAACATCAGAGAAAACACTGAAAACCAATAAAAATTCGAATTTCGCACGCTTTTACCGGCAGTTGGCCTAGAAAACTCACACCTGGCCGCTAGGCCACCGGTTCTCACTTTGACTTTTCAATGCCGTTTTTCTCAATGAAGGAATTTTTTTTGAATTTTTTCTTTATTTTTATGGGAATCTACATGGATTTCTGCACAAAATAAAGCAATAAAATTTTTTACCGCACACCACCTTTAAGCTTTAAAAATCCCGATTGACCATATCGGCAGAGCATTGTGCCGAAAAAGGCGTTAGAAACTTTTAAAAGGTTTGAAACAGAGAAATATTTAATGAACACAACAAAAAATTTAGTTTGGGTTGAAATGAAAAAAATTTAGTTTCAAAAAATACTGTTTCAGACATTTTTCAATTTTTGAACATATTTGAATAATTATTCCCTCATCTCTCGACATGATAAACCTTTGAAAATATTGTACATTGTGTGATAGAAGGCCTCCAAGTTGAGCTCAATTATCTCAAGTTCAATGAGTGATATAAAAAACTGACAATTGGTAAAATGTTTAGCATAATGTTACCAACATTTTATCAGTTGACACATTTTTGATATATCTTAAAGATGGGGGGACAGGAGATTTTTCGTAGTTTTTTTGTAGCTAAAGTATGCATTCTACCGTCACGGTGTACAACGCTTAATGTCACTCTGCGTACAGATGTCGTCCTCGCCTTTATGTATGCAATCCAGGCCTGTGCGGCAACAACATTTTTTCGGCAACGTTCGGCAACTCGGCAATTGCCGAAAAAAAATTTCGGCAATTTTCGGCAACAAAAGTTTTGCGTCTTTTTTTAGTAAATTCGATAAGTAACTCACCTGAAAATGATTCTATCAGGCTCAGAACTACAGAAAATGTGTTTCATAAGTTCCTTAAAAAAGTAATTACAAAAACTGGCAACTCAAGACCACATTTTTTATGCAAACTATTTCTATTTAGCAATAGAGGGTATTCCAATGTTTGCAAATATTTGTTCCGATTGTGAGTTTTGAAAATAGTGCGCTCAACTTGTTAGGCAACTCACGACACACGTCCCTAGAGATTTGAGACAGATTGGATAATTTTTTTGATGAGTTGTGACTCATGATATCTATTTTTCTCCTATGCTCACAAATTTGTAGCCCATTTTTAGATCCGATGCAAGTATTTTTGATGATTATTGGGACACATTTCCTCTAAAATTCACTCTGAGATGATGGTGTTCAAAATTTGATTTTTCGAACTTCGAAATCATTTTTTTGACTAAAAAATTGTGAAAATCTCTAAATTCAAAAAAATTTCAGTTGCCGAAATTGCCGAAATTTTTTTGCCGAAATCAGCAACGGCAGATCGGCAACTTTTTCTTCGTTGCCGATTTCGGCAACGGCAAATCGGCAACAAAAATTCGGCAATTTCGGCAATCGGCAATTTGTTGTCGCACAGGCCTGGTGCAATCGGGCGTGCGCTTTCTCTTTGCCCGCGTGGCTCAGTCGGTAGCGGCGCCGCATCTTCAATCCTCGCCCCCACAAGTTCAACTCCTCGAGGGGCATCTTTGAACGGAATTTCGAGAACATTATTTTTTTTCATTTCCCCCCCCCCCCCCATCTTTAAAGAAATTCGGATAGTTGAAAAAAAGGTAAGCAGCTTGTTTGTATATGGTGACATTCTAATAGAGCATGTTTGTTAATTACTTTGCGAAGTTTTCGCATGAAACTATCATTTTTGTAGAATTCGTGAAAGAAAAAGCACAAACAAGCTGCTTGAAACCTATTTGATAGTTCTATAAAACCGGAAAAATTGTAACTAGCTGGAAAACAATTTTTGCTGTTTCGAAAATATTTAATGTGATTTTTAAAATATAAATGACCGTTCCTAGCTCTTAAAGGTGGTGTTCGGTGAAATTTTTTATTGCATCAAAATGTGCAGAAATGCATGTAGATTGACATAAAAATAAAGAAAAAATTCGAAAAAAATTCCTTCATCGAGAAAAACGCATCGAAAAATACGCTGAAAGCCCTTAGGTACGAGGTTTTTTCTAGGCCACCCGGTGAGTAAAAGCGCGCGAATTCAAACTTTTAAAATTTTTTCGCTCGTTTTCACTTTTTTTTCGGTTTTTTCAAGAGTTTTCTAGGTTTTTGTCAATTTTTCTTCCAGATACATCGGAAAATTTGAAAAAACAGTGAAGACGAGCGAAAAAATTTTAAAAGTTTGAATTCGCGCGCTTTTACTCACCGGGCGGCCTAGAAAAACCTCGTCCCTAAGGGCTTTCAACGTATTTTTCAATGCGTTTTTCTCGATGAAGGAATTTTTTTGAATTTTTTCTTTATTTTTATGTCAATCTACATGCATTTCTGCACATTTTGATGCAATANNNNATTTCACCGACACCACCTTTAATCCCTTTCCTAATAATATTTCTATAGATGTTTCCCTCAAACTCACACCTCAACCCCTTTTTTTCCATGTTGTATTACTTATTGTAAAACCCATTATCATCAAATTCCAAACTACAGTTTCGAACATTTCTCAAATTTTTAACAAATTTGAATAATTATTCCTTCCATTTACAGCTTCACATGAATAAACCTCCGAAATTATTATGCTTGTCTGAGAAAAAAAAGGTTGAGACGCAGAGAAAACGTGTCTGCGTTTCCACCGTTTGTGTGCTATTTAGGCTCTCCGCTTCGATATCGCTACCGTATTCAGACTGCAAAAAATACTCTCTAACCTTTTTTTTCTCAGACAAGCATAATACTGTGAATGGCATAATACTATAGAACACCTCTTCCAAGTTGAGCTCAATTATCTCGGTTCCCCTAAGAGATATCTAAATTCTGTCGATTGATAAAATTTTTGTCAGAACATCACCAACATTTTTATAGTTTGCAGATTTTCAATACCTTTTATAGAAATTGAGATAATTATAAGTAGATGATAACATTCTAATAGAGCATTTCTGTTAATTAATTTGGGAAATTTCCGCATGGAACTTCATTAATGGCGCGTCCAAAGTTCTCAAATCTGGGATTTCTGGGCCCAGAAAACAGTCCAAAGTGACGCCCAGATTCCCGATTGAGCAAAATTTGAACCAGTGCGACAATGTAATTTTTTATTGAATCAAAATATGCAGAAAAGAATGTAGATTCACATAAAAGTAAATAAAGTTTCAAAAAAAAAAATTACATTGTCGCACTGGTTCATTGAGAAAACCGCATCGGAAAATTATTATTTTTTTTCGGATGAGAGCCCTGGCTTTTTTCTCGACGAAGGAACTTTTTTTAAAAAATGTATTTATTTTTATGTGAATCTACATGCTTTTCTGCATATTTTGATTCAATAAAAAATCACATTGTCGCACTGGTTCAAATTTTGCTCAATTGGAAATCTTGGGAATCTGGGCGTCACTTTGGACTGTTTTCTGGGCCCAGAAATCCCAGATTTGGGAACTTTGGACGCGCCATAATGGATCTCACAGAACTAAAATGTCATTGAGCAAATTGCTGGAAATTGCCTATCTCTTATTCCACAGTTCCATGAAACGGGAAAAATTTAAAACTCAATTAATAGGCATTTCCCTAATAATATTTTTACAGCTGTTTTCTCCCTCCATCTCACACCTCAACCCTTTTTCCATATTGTATTACCCAACTCCATATTTCTTTTTCTCTTATTTGCTAAATAAACCAAGAAACCCTCTAATTACCAATTATCCCCTCCCGTATGGGTCGGCTCTTTTCTTAGTAGGTTCATCTCAATCGGGTGGTTTATCCTGGCACCACCTGCTGTTGCTTCTCCTCTTTCTTCTCCCAAAAAAATGATCTCACTTAACCTGCCTAATCCACATCCTCTTTTTCCATGACCCAATCCGACCGGATTCCAGGTGTTTGTTGGTTTTTCCGTTTTTAATGAGTAGTCGATTTGGAGAGAGGGAGGGGAAAGGGTCCATATGGATGGGCTAATGGGTATGAGCCGAATTTGAAAGAAAAGGAAAGTGTGCCCGGAGTGATATGGGATTCAGATTTTTTTTCAGTACATTTTATTCAGAACGGATTCAGAACATTTAAGTCATTAATTTTTTGTTTAGAATTTCGACTATATTTTAGTGGTGAAAGAGTAATTTTAAGAGAACGTTTGCCACTGATGCATTGGCTAACAAAAAAAGAGAATTTCTACTACAGACTCTTCTACATACTCCCATAAATGAGTATTTTTAGGTACTTCATCATTTTCGGGAGTTTAAATACCGTATTTCAACTAATAGAACCCTGTACGTGTACATTGAGCTTAATTATCTCGATTCCTATAATCAAAAACCTGCCAACTGTTAAAATGTTGGTGATAAAATGATAAACAATTTAACAGTTAGCAAAATGTTTATATCTTTTGAGAGAACCGAGATAAATGACCTCATAAAATGCGGTATTTTGACATTTTCAGTGAAAGACAGTCAACTTTGAAGCCCCAAAAACGTAGTTCAGAATTTTTCGATTTGTCTGAAAATTCCAGAGTACAATAAACAAAATTAGAGCTTCAATTTTGTAATTGACAAGTTTTTTGTGAAAGTTCAACAGAGTGGGGTAAGCGTGGTACAAATTCCGTTGTAGTGCTAATTTTGGCCCCGCTGGGTTACAGACCGTATATATCATCGTATCATAATGAATATTTGGGAACATTGTAGATCAATTGAAGCTCTACTTTTTCAGAATATTCTGCAGATTTCAGAAAAATCGAAATATCTTGAACCACTTTTTCAGGACTTCGAATTGACTCTCTTCGGTCAATTAAGTCAAAACTTGATATATTTGCATATTATAGAGATGACACATTGTTAGTTATTCTAGAAGTGTTCCCTTAATACAACTGTGAAACCGTATTTTAACTTTTCAAAATTTCATAGAAGATACTCGAAAAAAATTCTAAATTTTCAAATAAATATAATCCAAATTTTCCCAGATTTTGAGCAACTAACGAGCGTAAATCCCTTGATTTACTTTCTCACTCACCTCCACTCTCTCCTCTTTTAGCGCACACTGAACTGCCAATTCTTCTCGTGTCGATGCGTCTGGATAGTGTGTTGATGAGAATGTCGTCTCCAGAATATTCAACTGCTCTTCACTGAAAATCGTTCGATGGCGTCGTTTTCGTCGGGATACGTAGTGTTGATGATGGTATGGTGGCATGAATGGAGGCATCAAGGGGGAACATAGCATTGCTGGAAACATGGAAACAATGTGGAGTTATCGATGAAAATAAATGAGAATGGATTCACAATTGTATTGAAACCGAGAAAAATGCAAATTTGAGACAATTTAGTCAAAGAAAGGAAAGAACTCAACATTGTTGAAAAAGTCATTCAAGGAATGCAGTGGGACATCAAAAAAAGTTTCTATGAAACGGCGATTTTTTTTTAAATTAGTGTATGACACCAATCTAAATTTTCATTGGTACATACGATTTAACTCATTTTTTTTTGATAATTTACTAGGCCTGTTGGTCCAATGGGTAAGAGAAATTCAGGTAATATTTTTGGTTAATATCGTGAAAGCTGTGATAGAAGGGCCCTTAAACGTTTGAGCTCATTTATCTCCATTTCTATGCAAGATATCAAAAATCTGTCAACTGACAAATCCCTCCTGATATCATGATAAACAATTTACCAGCTGGCAACTTTTTGATATCGTTGACAGGGACTGAGAAAAATTAACTTACAGTTAAGTTAGGGGCCCTTCTGTTACAGGTTTTACAGTAATTGTTGAAAATTTTCTGAAAACTAAACGATGTGCTCAAAATTTGACTTTTTCAAAATCGAGATTCCAAAAAGGTGGGACGAGCAAATTAGAAAATCAGCCTGCCAAAATACTCATGACCCAAACGAAACAGTGAAAAGGTAAAACTTACAAAAAAATGGATAAGACGCTGCATGGAACTGCCATGGCATTGAAGAAGCAGTGCCAGGTGGAACATTTAAAGATCCGAATGGATCTTGAAAATTCTGTGATTGGAGTTGTGGAAGAGCAGCCAAGGGGTTGGAGAGCAATGTGTCAATGGAAAATGAAGTGGATGTGGAAGGAGATGAGGAGGACGACGATATACTGGAATCAGAAGTTGTATATTTTGATAGAGATTTTTGAGTCGTCTGATTTTCGGAACCTCCGTTTTGACCGGGTTTTTAAACACTCTACCAAACATTTTCGAAAAAATATAAATAAGTAAATTATCACTGTTTCGAGGATTCAAAAAGAACTTATTTCTGTATGTCGATGTAGTGATTGGTGTTTTTACTTTTTGGAAGCTTCAGAGAAAAATTGGACTAAAATATCATTATTGAAGAAAATTAGGTTTTTCATTCATACTACCAATATGTCAATATTTGAAGTTACCATTTAAAGTTATATTTGTGAAATAGTTTTTTTGCGAAAAATTACCTCGCAGAATTAGGCATAACCAATTTGTTAATCGACTCGGGAGTCATAAGAAACGGGAAAGATGTCATATTTCTTCAGAATAACACCTAGCTACAGAGGGGATGAGTCCTCTTGGTACCGCCCGTGTTTGTTCCTTTCTCGGAAGAAGCCCCGCCCACCTTTGCATTGCTGACTATTCGATGGACACGCCCACCAGAGGTTTTTGGCGCATTGTGACGGAAAGGTGTGAATAAATAATAGAAATAAATGAAGAGGAGGATGAGACAGGATATGAGGTGGAGAAAATAATATTAATGTATAGTTTTGAAGTGTTTCGGAAAAGCAAATTGGAATCGCCAAAAACAAATTTGAATACAAATCAAGGGAGCTAATAGTGTAATACTATAGAAAGAAATTGTAGGAAGAATTCCAAAAAAAAAATTGGAAATTCCAGTTTTCAATAACCATTTTTCCCAATATGTTCTTCGCTGGAGCACTAGATGAAAATTTCGATTGAACGATTTTTGAAAAGAGTGTAACAGAAAATCTGTCGAAGAGGATACTAAACATCGTTTCATCAAGTTCCTTCTAGTAAATGATAAAAGAGAAACTTTTTTTTAGAAAACAGAAGTCCACTTTTAAACTTTTTGCCAGTAATTCTTAGACATTTCTACTATAATCTGAAATTCCGGTATTTTTGTTGAATTATTAACTATCGCAAAACCTGTATTAGAAAGGTCGGCCCTTCTATTGTTCTAAGGTACCTCCGGGGGCCCTTCTATTACGGAGGTCCTTCCTTTACAGGGGCTCTCCTATTTACAAGCTATTTTCCGAAATATTTTCGTTTAAAACATACTTGCAAAATCTCGGGCCGGCCCGCGGGTCGGCCCGTCGAGAATTTCGGCAAGCCGGGCCGGGGTACTTACAGACGTTGATTTTTTTGAATTTTTTTTTTTCGAAATTTTTGAAATTTTTTTCAAAAATTTAAACAAAAGCGACCGATTTTTTGACTACTTTCTACTTTGTAATTTTGGTTAATAATGTACCCTTTTTTCTTTTTAACTCAAAAAAAATTACCCAATTTTTCATTGGAAAATTTTCCACTGTGGTAGGCGGGCCGGGCCGAGAAAATTCGTCTACCAGCCTTTTGCAACTTTGGTTTAAAATTTATAAAAATCAACAAATTTCAATATAATCGAGAAGTTTCCAGCAAAAAAAAACAGTGTTTCAACAAATAACTGTGAAATTGTGGTATTTCCGGAATGTTTTTCACTGAAAATGTACGGAAATGTTTAACTTCAAACAGCACATTTTGAAGAGGGCTCTTCTATTTTCCAAGCCCTTTTTTGCACAACATTAGAGGAGCCCGTCAATTAGAAGACCCTTCTAATACAGGTTTTACGGTATATCCTGTTCTTCCGACTCTTAATTTTAAAGTGATATGTTTAGCTATAATAATCATGAACTAATTGTATTCAAAAGTTGCTTAAAAATCAGATTTCTAACCGATAATTTTCAAGAACTGATATTAAAGTTCCGACATTTAAACCCGGGCTTCCCTAATCCATTGTGATGTTATCAGCAATATTTTCCTCAAAATACATCGTTCGTTTTATCATTGAAAGGGGGAATCCGACCAAAATTTTTTTGTATAAAAATGTTTCAAAAGTTATCTATTTTTCGAATATTATTACGAAAAAATTCAAAGAAAATCCGAAATCCCCGAAAAACGC